CCTTGAAGGGCTTACGCAGCTTGGAAAAACTGCAACGTCTGTCGGTTTTCACCAAGGAGAAATTGACGACGACTACCAAAACCGCTCTATTATCAGAAGCTGACAAAAGCTTCATTAAAAGGGGGAAAATCATGGTCGCTCAGCAAACCTTACGCTCGTCAGAAGTTTCACCTGATTTACTCATTGGACAGGACCTCTTGAATCAAGTGATCGAACACCACAATCCAGTTAAAAAGCTGCCATCTGGATTAGTCCTCACACCCACAATTTTCGGGTACACAGTCTCAGGAGCCGGCAGCATACCCAATTCAATGAAGCAAGTTAGATATGTACAATGAGGGTCGCTCATTGTGGCTACTCCTCTCATATCATCGAAAGACTACTCCAAAACGGACAAGAATATCTCTGGAGCGGAAGCACCTCCTGCCAACGTCCGAGAGCCCACTTCTATTCGCCCTTTCGCTGCAAAAGTTCGTCAGAAGCGGGGAAAAAAGGAAGGACCTATAAGTCTACCGAGAACTACCTTGCGACCCCTATTAGTATTGCACGATGATGAGGGCGTGTTCTCGAGTAAGAACGCTCGCGACACGTTCTACGCTTTATTGAATAGCGTGAACGACATCAAGCGGAAGCTGAATCGGATAGAGGACCGCTTACGACTACTCAATGAAAGGATGCATACACTGGATCTAAGGACTCAGACGGAAGTGTTGCGACCAGGAGCACCTCAGTGTCCTACCGTCCCGACTACACGGTATTGCTATATGATTGGACACCAGGCTACGGACTGCCAAATTTGAAGCTCCATACCTCAAGTGTCAACAGGAAGAATAGCTCAGAAACCAATCAATCGACTTATTCCACTGGAAATACACTCTTCATCACACGACCAAAATGACGAATCTCCAACATATAGAGCAAGAGCCACCACTTCAAGAAAACTGTCTTCATCAGCGAGGAAGAAAGCTGACGCTCCCATGAAACGTCAGACACCAAGAGTTCCTCTCAAAACCAGCGTCTCCAGATAACAACAAGTCCGCAAACGACAGCCATTCGTGAATAATGAAATTTGTATTGCTATAATTAATGTTGTTGTCACATCGTTAATTTGGTACTTGATAGTCTGATATTGTAACTGTATTTCACAATAGGTTTACCGTAAGCAATACTGTTAATATGCACATCTATGTAGCTACCGCTACTTTTCGCTCCGCCCCAGTGTTGTGGATTCACAACCATATCTATGTTTATAATAGAAAATGAGTGATAACATGCTAGTTCAACATATTAACCATAGGCATAACTTGGCATGAGTATCTCTTGAGTTGAGACCACAGACGGTATCATAAGTGTGCAATCAAGTAGGTAACTTAAGTTCTGCCGTTGGCGCGGTCCGCTCTTACAACCCCCGAGCTTGAGTACCGCCACGGGCCCCTAAGGTCCAATGGCGATACGGTATCTGAGGACCGCCCACATATCCATGATATATATAAACCGCTAACTTTGTGTGTCCGTTTGTATGCCCGTTTGTGCGTCCGCCCAAAAATCACGTAGGCAAATGATTAAATGCGTTATCAATGAAGCGGATACATATATTTCATTAGATGAGGATCTAAGATCATTAGCGGTCGAATAAGCCTTGCCAAAAGTGATATCAAAGCGAAGAAGAATCGTGATCCTTCATTGAGTTACAAACTTCACTGGGAGCGGCCGTAAAAAGCGTTCTCCTGACTGTCACTCCTGATTCACTGTCATGCTAAATCCCTATACTATGGACGATTCAACTATCGGTTCGCAGCCAACTGAGGGAGGAGAGAGGTTAGGCTTCTTGGTCAAAAAAACTTTTTGCTCACGGATAATTTTTACCGAATCTTTGCATTTAACCTATTTTCCAGACTAGACGCGTATTTTTCTGTAGATAGAAATCACTAGAAAACTAATCTAATCGAAATCTCTAATTTTAAATGTGGATTTTGCTCACAGATGCGCACTCCAAGAACTATCCACTCCATAACACTTCAGTAGCTATAATAGATGAAGGTTTTCCAAATTTGGAACTTAGGCAAAATCTATACGACAGCTGATTGTTTGTTTGTTCGTTCAATGTAAAGAAATTCGATATTACCTTAGGAAGCATCTG